TGCCCACCCACCCACCCACACTGTGGTCACCCCACAGACCTTGGGGATGGGGCTCTCACAGTTGCCTGGGCAGGGATGTTCTGCATATGCCCCTGGTACTGCAGATTCCACAGCCTTGAGGGAGAACCCGGGAGAGGGGCAGTGGAAGCCCTGGAGGGTTCAAGGCCCAGGGTGTGCGGGGGTCCAAGCATGGGGTGTCCAGAAGGGATCCCTGTAAGACGTCCAGCACATAAGGACCTAACAGTAGCCTGGGACTCTCCAGGTGGCATCTTACTCAATCCTTATCTCAATTTTTTTTGGTTTTTTTTTTTAAATACAGTCTCACTATATAGTTCAGGCTGGCCTTGAATTCACTACGTAGCCCAGGCTGGCCTCCAACTCATGGCAGTCCTCCTGCCCCAGCCTCCCGAGTGCTGGGATTGCAGGCGTGTGTCACCATGTCTGGCCCTTATCTCATTTTAAAGAGCCAGGTGTGGTGACGCAAGCCCGCTTTCCCCGCGCTCGGGAGGCTGGGGCAGGAGGATCACAAGTGTGAGCCCAGCTTGGGCAGCTCAGCGAGTCCCTGTCTCAGAAGAGGAAAGAGAAGGCTGGGGACGCTGCTCAGTGTGAAGGCCCTGGGTTCGATCCCTAGCACCACAAAATAAACAAGGACTGGAGGCACGGCTGGCTCAGTGGCAGAGCACCTGTGGGTTCGATCCGTAAGTACCACAAATAATAACAACAGAAAGAAAACAAAAGCAAACAACTCCAGAAACCCAAGGCCTAGTAAGTTACACGGTAACAGTATGAGCTGGGCTAAAGAGACACTGACTGCGTGTCTTGGGTCAGACCCTGGTCTGGTTAACTCCTAGGCTCTTCCTCTTGCCATATACCCTCTTTTTAACCCCAGCCTCATTCTAAATTGGTGAACTGGGTGGGGGTGCTGACGTAATGCCTGTAATCCCAAGCACTCAGGAGGCTGAGGCAGGAGGATTGCAACTGGAGGTCTGAACCATTTAGAGAGACTCTGTCCCAAAATAAAGGTAATAAAAAGGCCAAGGGGTGGGGCTCGGTGCTGAGATGACAGGCCTGTGCTGCCACACCCAGCCACCCCCTCCTGGTATCCCGGACACAGGCTTGAGCAGGGTTCGGAGAAGTAGAAGTGAGAGCACAGGTTTGTTAGCAAAGACCAACAACCAGTGCCCTCCTCAGGGTGGGCGCCGGGCAGTGAGAAGGGCTCCTGGCCCTGGGAAGCCAGGTGTGGAGCCTGTGTGGCTTTCACAGGAAGCAGCAGCTCTCGGGACTGGTGCAGCAACTCCCTCCGCTCAGGCTGAGGCGAGGGCTTCTGTGCCTGTGAGGACCTTCAAGGCAAGACGTGCCACGGTGCCCAGGGCCATGGTGTGGAGGGGCCAAAACCACAATGCAAGTGGGACTACGAGGAACTCTACTCGAGTTGCAGTCACTTTCCATTGTTTAGAATATTCTAGCACATGCATCCCTAGGCAGCTTTGTCGGTAGAAGTGGGAGCTTCCCATGGTTTCCAGAGGGCTCATCTGGGGCCCCAGAAGCCTGTGGTGTGTGTGCCCCCTCACCAGTCCTGGCTGGGGTCCAGCTGCAGAATCCTACATTCTCTGTGGTTTCTAGAGCCCCAGCTTCCTCTTTTTGTCTCTGGCCTTCTGGTCTACTCCTTCCAGGAATTTCTCCCCTCTATCCTCTGCCCTTAATGAAGTGCCCACATAGGTCTAACAAACGCACACTGTGAAGGGAACCCTCACAGACGGGATGCACAGGGCCGGGTGTGTCTGGGAAGCCTCTGCAACTTCACTCAGGTCTGTAATCAATCTGCTGTGGCTGTGTCTAGCTGTCCCCCCAAAATCTCATGCACTCATAGGCTTGGCTTTTCAGAGGTGGCTGGATCCAGCGTGTGATGCTGGGATCAAGGGTATGTGATTATTAAATTAGTCCACTGATTGGTTTAACATAGCCCTGGGTAGGATTAGGACTGCCCTACCCTGAGTGTATGTGCTACTCACCCTAATGGGTGTAGTCTGGATTAATACAAGGGACAGGAAGAGGGTCGTCATCACCGCCACTTGTCACTTGTTGCTGTCTTCTGCTACCCTGCCATGGACTGTTTCTCCTCTACAGTGCTACCCTGCCTTGGAGCCAGCTGACCATGACTAAACCCTCTGCAACTGTGAGCCAAAAGAAACTTCCCCTCCCTCACCTTGTGGGTGTTTGTCTCAGCAACAAGAAAAACTAACTGAAACAACCTAACTCCAAAAAGAACCAATTTTAAAAGCCATTCTCAATTTATAAATGGGAAAGTCTCTCAACAAACATTCCTCTAAACAAAGTATTCAAATGACACAGGACACCAGAAAAGGCAGGAGCTCACTTTCATTAGCCGCCAGGAAAATGCAAGTCAAAAGCACACCAGGACACTACTTCACCCTGACTAGGATTCCCGCGTTGAAAACAACTCTCACAGCAGTTAACAGGGAAGGACTGGAATCCTGTAACAATGTGGCCACTTTGGAAAACAGCCTTGCAGCTCCTCAAAAAATTGAACACAGAGTTACCTTCCGACCCAGTAATTACCAGGAGAACCAAAAAACCTACAACCACACCACCGCTCGTACATGAACATTCACACCGGTGTTACCACCACACCACATGTGTATCAGCTGATGGACGAAATGATGACCTTGCAGGTTATCATTTAATAAAGAAGTGCTGATGAACACCACAACAGATGAGCCTTAAACACGTTCAAAGAAGGCAGGCATGAGAGTATTATTTATAGGACAGCGCTTCTGTGACATATTCAGGACAAGGAAATCTACAGACAGAAATTGCCGGTGCATGGAAGTGCACACTTGGGAGGCTGAGGCAGGAGGATTGCTATGAGTTAAGGCCAGCCTTAACTACACAGCGAGACCCTGTCTCAAAAACAAAATGAACACACACAAAAAAGAAAGCAAGCTAGACTGGTGATAGCTAAGGGCAGTGGTAGTGAACCTATGGCACTTTGTTAACTTGTTTTTCTTTTAAGACAAAAGATGCTAATGTATGAGTTGTGCTTTTCTAAATCAAAACTTCAGTATTCGGGTTTAATTGCAGAGTTGGCGCTTTGTGATAAATGAGTGGGTTTTGGGTCACAGTTTGGGCCCTCGTCTCTAAATGGTTCGCCATCACTGGTTGGGAGTTGGGGAAGAGGAAGGAGACACAGGTGAATCCCTAGTGAGGCGAAGGACGTGCATGGTTCTGCGAAGGGCACTCACCATGGGGTGCTGGCTCAGGTCGTCAGGGCTGGGAGGGGCCCACGACAGGCCATCTCCACGCTGGCCCGGGTTCATGCAGCGTGCCTCGACCCACATCCAGAGGCCTAGAGGCAGGGAGGCTGAAGGCCAGGAGCCTGGAGTTCCGGCTTCAGCACAGGGGAAAGCTGGTGCCCCGGTGGGCGGAGACAGACACGTGCGCCTGCGTGAATCCGCTTTCCGGCCTCGGCCAGCGACTGTGCCCACCCCGCCACTCCGCTACAGACGCGCTTCCTGCAGAGGCCGCTCACAAACAAGGCTCCCAGGTTTCCCAGGCTACCCTTCCAGCCAACCCAACACCAAACGTTAACCGCCAAGGGTGACAGCGAAAGGAGACGGACTCTTTTTTGAGAAATTGCTAAATTGCTCAAGGTGAGCTCGAATTTGTGATCCTCCTGACTCAAGCCTCCCAGAGTTCTGGGATTACAGGTGTGTACCACCGTGCTCAGCTGAATTTTAAACAGGCAAATTATGCAGCATGTGAATTAAATCTCAATTAAAAGGGTTCCTCCTCAATTTTTAAAGACAGGTCTTTGATCTATTCTGGTCACCTGAGTACTGAAGTCAAGAGAGGTTAAATGACTCGCCCTAAATAATTTATCATTTACAATCCCAAAAGCAGCGACCAAAAGCAGCTGGGCATGGTGGTGCACGCCTGTGACCCCAGTACTCGGGAGGCTGAGGCAGGAGGATCGCTGGGAATTCAAGGCCAGCCTGGACTACATAGGGAGACTGTCTCAAAACAAAACCAAAACCAAACAAAATAACCCCAAACGATAACCATAAAAACTTATGAAAAAGGGCTGGGATGAGGCCCAGCGGGTGTAGCACTTCGCTGGCTTTGGAAAGGCCGGGGGCTCAGTCCCCAGAACCGGGAAAGAATCTCCCCTGGACCTTCGTTCTGCTCATACCTGGACCGCATCACCATCCACTACCCGACAGCTGTGTCCCACTGACCGACTGGGAGGTGCTTCCCACCCTCCTGGGCCAGCTCAGCCTGCAGGGCCTTTCCCTCCCGGCGTCATCCCTGCCTTCAGGCCCAGTCTCCAGTCTGGGAGCTGCCTTCCAGGTGTGCCTCGTCCATCCGCAGAGGCAAGAACTAGGAGATATGAAAGGGCGCTCTGGGACCTGCTAGTGGGGTCGGAGGGGGCTGCGGTTTTAAACCGATCAGTGTTGTTGTTTTGAGGCAGGCTCTGGCAAAGCAGTGCAGGATGGCCTTGAAGTCCGGGCAATTCTCCTGCCTCAGCCTCACACAAGGGTGCGCACGGCTCCCACGGGTAACCTGTAAGCACTTAACGGGAATAGAGCTAGCGTCTGGAGAAAAGGGGTCCAGACCCAGCGTGAGGTCGCCCCTTCTGTCTGTTGCGTCGGGGCTCCCAGTCACCGCGATCGGACTCGGCGCCCCACACGCGGTCCCGCCCGGACGCAGGCCGAGTCCGCAGTTTAAGCCTCAGAGCGTCGGGATCGGGCCACCGGCCCCGCCCACTCCCCGGGCCCACCCCTTCCCCGCCCCCGGGGCCTGGCAGGCAACGCAAACCCCGCCCCTAGCCTGCTCAAACCCGTGGTCCGTCCCGCCCCTAGAGCCAAGACTCCGCCCCTTTAGCTATTTAAGGAGCTAAACGCCGATTGGTCAGAGTCAGAGACCTCGTTTCCTAATTGGTTGTAACATCCGGCGGTTTTCACAGGCCTGGCGACCCGGAAGGCCACCCGGAAGTGATTCCCGAGGCGCCGGGCCGCGTGGTTTGCTCTAGGGACGCGGTGGTGATCGCCGCTGCGATGACCAAAATAAAGGCTGATCCGGATGGGCCTGAGGCTCAGGCGGAGGCGTGCGGCGGGGAGCGCACTTACCAGGAGCTGCTGGTCAATCTGAACCCCATCGCGCAGCCCCTGGCTCCTCGGCGCCTCACGAGGAAGCTGTACAAGTGCATCAAGAAAGGTGCGGCCGGGCGGGCGGGCGGGCGCGAGGACGGGGGCCGGGCCGGGTCGGACCGGGCCGGCTGACTCCGCTGTCATTGCAGCCGTGAAGCAGAAGCAGATCCGGCGCGGGGTGAAGGAGGTTCAGAAATTCGTCAACAAAGGGGAGAAAGGGTAAGAACCCTCCCGCCAGCGCTGGCGGTTCTGGTGGTGACCGGTGCCCGGTGAAATGAGGGTGGCCCCGACCCCGCCTGTACACAGATAGCCAGGCGGCCGGTGAACGACCTTCAGTCCGGAAACCGACTTGAAGTGTGAGCTGAGCTGCCGTCCAGCGGCGGCCACGGCGTGGACCGGATAGGCACACACAAGGGGTCGCGTGTTTAGATCGCCAGCCGCGAGGAGAACGCGAACTGCAGCGGGGATACTTCACTTTCTTCCTGGCCTTTATCAGAGTCTGAGGTTAATATGTGTTTTTATTCCCTGCGTTTCCTACTCAGACCGGACAGTCAGCCTCCCCGATCGGTGCCCAGCAGTCTGGCACCCATCGGTGCTATGAGCATTTGCCTAGCATGTGGGAGGCCTTGGGTTCCATGCCCAGCGAGAAGGAGACCGAGAGGAGAGTGAATGAATGCTGTGCATTGAAACGCAGCTGAGTCTTAGTTGGTGGTGGTGGTGAGGAGGATGGAGTTTCCAGAGCAGCCCTATTCATGCTAAGATCCGAAGACACGGGGAGTTGGTCTCGGAGGAGAGAGTGGCCCGATGTGAGCCTTGTTTAGCCATAGTGAGTAGCTTCCCAGAACTCTGGGGGGTCACTGGGGGTCAAAGCCAGGAGATAACTATACTGACACCTTAAGGTTTTCTGGCCAGGTGTGGTGTACACTCGTAACCCCAGCACTCTGGGAGGCTGAGGCAGGACCACAAGTGTGAGACCAGCCTTGGCAATTTAGCAACTTAGTAAGACCCTGTCTCAGAAGAGAAAAAAGGGCTGGGAATGTAGCTTAGTGTGCAGGCCCTGGGTTGAATCCCTAGTACCACCAAAAAGATTCTTTTGGCAGTTGAGAAAAGCCCTAAGCGAGGCATGAGCAGATGTGGGTTAAGAGCTGTTGGAGATGGACTTAAAGTGTGGGTTTGAGAGGATGTTCAGCTGTGGACAGCTGTGAGTTTAGGGCTGGGTTTAAAGGTCAGTGGGAAAATGCCTGTCCAGCATGCAGAAGCCTGGGGTCTGATCTCTAGTACTGCCAAAAAAAGCCACAAGTTTGGTTTTAGGCGAGTTTTGACGTACCTTGGAGACATCCCCTGGCCTGTCCCCAGCCTCACTGTCAAATACACAGATGACTGCACATGTTTGGGCTTGGGCCAGGCTGGAGAGTGGATTCGAGAGTAGTAACTCCTAGGTGCACCTGACACCATGGCTGCTATCTAGGTCAGCCAGGAGGAGAGCACAGAGCAGAGGGCAGCTGAGGCCAGGCTGCGAGGACACCAACCGTCAGAGCTACTGGAAGGAAGAGGCGGCAGTTGGGGAGTCTGCGAGGCTGAAGGGGAATTCGGAGTGTGGAGGCAGCCTTTGCTCTGCCTGCCTCCCTTCCCCTCTTGGGCAGAGTGCATGAGTCTTAGCCCGGCACTCGTGGCCCTCCAGTGCCACACCTGCCAGTCTCTCCAGCTCTGCCATTTGCTTCCCCCCTCCTGATTCCAGAGGTTCCCAGGCGCCCGATGCAACTTCTCCCAAACTGTCCTCCCACCCGCTGCCCCGTGGGGTGCCTGGCACCAGTCGGGGCATCCGTGTCACCTCCTAGCCGGAGCCCTTGGGGCTCGGGAAAGCTGTTGTTCCTTGGCCCTCCTCCCTGCACGGTACCCGTCGTCACACTGGGTGGCACTGACGTGTCAGGAGGGCAGGGCTCACCTCCCCAGCAGAAGCCGTTTGCACCGTGGGCTATTAGTAGCAGGCTCCTGCAGCCAGGGTGTTATTCATCTCTTTCCCCTGGAGCCGGCCCAGAGGTAGCACTTCAGGACTGAGGGAAGGAAGGAGCAAGCTAGACATGACGACAGTTGCTCTCATTTCAGGATCATGGTTTTGGCAGGAGACACGTTACCAATCGAGGTATACTGCCACCTCCCAGTCATGTGCGAGGACCGGAGTTTGCCTTATGTCTATATCCCCTCCAAGACGGTAAGGAGCGGAGCCCAGCCCAGAGAGGGGTCTGCAGAGCTGCAAGAACTGAAGTATTAGAGTTAGGGCGGCCTGGGTGGCCTCTGGCTCCACTGCTTCCTAGTTGTGCACTGTGCATCAGTTTGCTTTCTGTACTTGCGTTTGCTGCTTTTTGTGACAGGGTTGTGGTATGTATCGCAGGCTTGCCTTGAATCCCCTACAGCCCAGGCTGCCCTGGGACTCCCAGTCCTTCGTCAGCCTCCTGAATAGCTGGGGTTTCCTTTTCACAAATGGGACCCTCCCCCTGTGAACTATGCAAATGAAAGCAAGATGGAGATGAGCGTGCTTGGTCAACTGAGGTGCTGCAGGTTTGCTGGTTTCCAAGCCAGGTGTGGGGTGCACACCTGTAATCCCAGCAGGCTGCAGGCTCACAGGAGGATCCCCAGTTCCAGCCAATCTCGGTGGCTTAGTGACTAAAACCCTGTCTCAAAAATAATAACAATTTTTTCTATTTATTTTGGTACTGGGGATCAAACCCAGGACCTTGCGATTGCCAGGCAGGCGCAGCACCACTGGCCCCAGTAATAACAGTTTTTTAAAGGGCTGGGTCAGTGTGAAGGCCCTGGGTTGAGTCCCCAGAAAGATCCGAAATGGTGGCAACCTATGCAACACAATGCCTGCCCAGAGCACGGCTGAGGACGACCCCTGATGTACAGGCTGTGCCCTTTCTCCACATGACCTCCTCTCTGTTCTCTGCAGGACCTGGGTGCAGCTGCGGGCTCCAAGCGCCCCACCTGTGTGATAATGGTCAAGCCCCATGAGGAGTACCAGGAGGCCTACGACGAGTGCCTGGAGGAGGTGCAGGCCCTGCCGTCGCCCTTGTGAGGGGCTGGACAGCAAGCCAGGCACCGGTGGAAGCTGCTGGGCTGGCCGCTCACCCTCATAGCACCTCCCCGACTCCGCGGGGCACGTGCTCTTCCCAGCCAGCTCCAGCAAGGGTTTCTTAATGGTAGAGCCAGAGTCTTCTCCATCAGTGCCATTTCCTGTTGAGCTTAAATGAAGACAGTTCCAGAGTGTGGGGTGGAAGTAAATGCTAAGACTGACATCTGGTGAGTCTGTGGGTGGTTTTTTTTGAGAGGAGGCGGCGTGCAGCAGCTGCTGGCAGGCAGGAAAGTGCGGAAGCAATCTTTCTCACCAGAGAATAAAAGGACCCTAGAGTACTCAGTGCTGTGCTGTCCTCCAAGGCCCAAGCTTCGGCTCCAGCTGCACGCTGACTCTGCTGCCCTCCAGAGTCCCAAATCGACGTCCAGGAGAGGTGGGGCTGGGAGCCAAGGTGACAGGACCGGGCTCTACTTCACAGATACCTGCACCTCCTATGCTAGAGACACCCCATTCTTTCCACTTCGCCCAGGGGCCTTAGAAGCCACTGTCAACCTTAGGGAAGCTACTTAGCTGCCACACAGTACATTTTGCAAAGGAATAAATCACCCCTAACGTAACAGCCCACACAGGACTCGGTAAACATGGTGACCCAACTTCATAAGGAGTAATCTGAATAGAGCTGGGTGTGAGGCTCAAAAGCCAGCTCAGACTCCATGCTCCTATCTTCCTAAATCCCCTGCACTGACTCTAGTCAGACTCTACACATCCAGGGACAAGCACCTTGTGTGGGATCTGCCATCAGGCCTTCCCAGAGGACACCACCTGCCAGGTTTGGTAGCAGCAGCCATGAGACCATGCCCAGTACCTGTGTGCAGCAGGCACGCGTACTTGTTATTAAGCTCTCGGCTGGCAGGAGTAAGGAGAAGGGCTATGAATATATTTACTCAGTTATAAAACAGTGGCACTCAGTTCTACCTTGTGCTATTTACAGTGGGGAGTGGATATGTACAATGGAGACTGTACAGCGGAGGCCACAGCTGGACACCCCTGGGCTGTGGGGCAGGAGAGGACACAGCCTTAGCATGGTGGTGAGACTGGCTGAGGGCAGGGGTGAGAAATCTCTGCTGCTGGTGGCCAAGCCCTCTGCTACTCTGGGCTGTCACTAAATCAGGGACAAATAGAGACTGATTGAGGGCAGAGGCCAGCATCCGCCTTTGGGCCAAGGAGCCCGCTGCCCAGGGTGGGTTGGTGCACCTCATCCCAGCCTTCTGCCAAAGGCCCCACCCCACATACTGCCCCTTGGCCAGGTGCTCTGAAACCAATCCCAGTCCACTGAGGCGGACTGAGGCTTTAACAGCAAAGTCCCTTTCAGACGGAAGTCAGAATATGATCCGTTTCCCGTCTGCTGGGTTCTGCTCCATGGGACAGTAGGGACACTTCAGCCTGCAAAGGGAGAGGCAAGAGCATCTCAGGGGTGAGCCAGGCCAAGATGGAGTGGGGTGAGGGCCAGGGGAGACTTACTTTCCTCCATTAATGAGCTTGTTGAGTGCATCTCGGGAGATGACGTGGCCGCAGATGAGTTTGATGGGAGGGTTGGAATCTGATGTCTGCTGGCGGAGGATGGGACAGGCGAAAACCGAATGGTACCAGCACTTCATGCCGAGCTCGATCTCGATCTGGAGAGGCCGACAGGTCTGAGTTCCACTTCCTGTCCTGCCCGGCCACTGCCTCTTGCTGGCACCCCCCCCTGCCAGGCCCAGGCTCACCGGCAACTCGTCCTTGTGACTCCAGACGCCAGTGCACTGCCTCTGCTCAATCACAGCTTTGATGTTCATCAACACGGGGAGTGCCACACAGCCAGAGGCAAAGCTGCAGAAGAGAGCCAGGGCTGGGGTGGCCGGGGCCACGGAGCCCAGCAGCCAGAAGGACCACCACACCGTGTCCAGCACAGGACGTGAGACAGGACTGGACAGTGGCATGAGGGCCAGTCGGTCCCTGAAGACCCTTCAGGTCGCTCATCAAGTGCCACATATATAGTTAGCGTGCCCAACTCTGGAGACCCATTCTAATCTACCCTCAAACTGAAGAACCTCCGGGAAAGGCCAGAGGAAGCACCCAGGCGGATGCCTGCTCGGCCAGAGCACAGCAAACCTTGGTACGAGGGGACTGGGGTCAGTCAGTGTGACAGGCCCTCCTGGGGGAGCAACCCTGCTGCGGTCCTAACAGTCCTGGTCTTGGTCTTGGGATGACTGCTCGGGGAGCCCTGTGTGAGAAACGCCCACAGTGCACATGGTGGGGCCGCATGACAGTCCAGTCGCCCTCGAGGGGCTGGTATGTTCCTGCTGGGAGATACTGTTGTGTAACACAGATGTCCAGTGACAAAGCAGCCAAGAACAGAGTCGGTCTCCCATCCTGGGATGGAGCTTGGGACTCCACAGCAATCCAAGACCAACAGCTGTCCACTGTGGGTGTGTGGCTTGTGTCAGTCCAACTGCCCTTTATTCCTTGTGAGGTGCCTGGGAGGTCCATTCACATGGTGAGCCTACCTCCTTTCTCATCTGTAAAACGAGGATAACCGCGACTCTAGCTTCCAGGGTTGCTGAGTAAGTTGGGAGAGAAGAGTATTACTGTGAGGAGACTTCTAAGCCCAGCTGTAAACCCACGTTCCACAGCCACGTGAGTCCTCCCCGGAGGGAAGTGGTGTCAGGGCCTGGGAGGCGGGTGGCTGCTGGAGGGCTGTGGGTCAGCTTGGAGGCTCTCACGGGAATCCAGGCCTGTGGGGCAGAGAGGCAGAGCCTCTGCTCTCCCACTGTAAGAACAGGCGACTTCCATCTGAAGGACAGCTGAGTCAGTCAGGTCTAAGAAGCACCAGGAAGTGTTCCTGACCGGGGCAGGGGGACTCACAGAACTACGCTTCCCTCTGTCCCCTCCCCTCCCCTCCCCTCCCCTCCTCCACCCCTGGGGCCCTGCAGTACCTGACGCTGAGCGGGGACTCCACAGAGAGCCCCAGCAGGGAGCATGCGTCCCGGGTGAAGGTCTCACAGATCTCCGCCCAGTGGCTGCTGTCCAGGAGGTGGCAGTAGGGAGACTTCTCCAGGCCCAGGCGCAGGTACACCAGACTGCCCATCATCACCTGGATCTCTACAAGGCAACCAGGGAGGCAGAGCTGTGAGGCGCAGCACTGTGCGTCCGTCCGGTGAGCCCTCGTCCCAGACCCGCCACGGAGCAGGGACTGAAATGGCCTCCGGCAAAACGAATTCTCTCGAAAGCCCAGGGGAGGTGGGGTCTCCCAGCTGTTTCCATACAACAAGGACAAGCACTGCCAACAGGGAGTTGGGCAGAGCGCTGAGTCCCTTTCCAGTCTCCTTGCTGTCCTGCCACGTGCATGGAGCACACGCCTCAGGTTGGCACTGACGGGTAGCAGGGCAGACCCCAGGTCCCAGCCTCTCAGGGGCAGCAGGCCCAGCTAAAGGTGACAATCACTCTGGCTTTCATGACGTTCACGCATTCATTTCTATGGTGCTGGGGATCGGGCCCAGAATCTCAGGCACACTAACTGGGCACTCCGCCACTGAGCCACACCCTTGGCCTTCATATTTATTTTTTAATAAATTTCAAAGCAATAAGTATGAGTAAGGTGAAAGAGAAAGCCGCCTCCAGGTTACTCTGATGAGCATCTCCAGGGCAGGACCCAAAGGCAATCTTAGTGTGCAGAGAGCGGCTTGGGAGGGCCTGAGTGTGCAGGTGCAGAGCCCTGCTAGGTGCACAGGAGGGGAGTTCGGAGGGCTGAGGTGATGCTAAATGCTACGGTGGAGGTGGACGACGGAGACCTTGGGCCTGGAGTTCATGAGGCAGTGGGGGATCAGTGTTGGGCTGGGGAGGCAACAGCCAGTGGCGATGAAGGTGGAGGCCAACCTGACCGGCTCTGGGGTCTGCCTGGGGACTGGTGAGGACGTTTCTCAGGGTGTCCGGGTGGGTCGCAGAGGCGTGGCCTTGGGGTGTCGTCTGGTCCCTCCCCCTTCCTCTCTGGTGCTCTTCAGGCTGCCATGAACTAAACATCTATGCTCCCCCTCCCCCTCCCACCGGGATGTTGACCAAGGACTGAATCCCTGGAACCATGAACTTAATTAACCTTTTCTCCTTTAAATTTCGGGTGTCGGGTATTGTGTCCCGGCAGTGAAACCCCAGGCTGGTGTAGGGACTGGCAACCCGACGCAGAAGTGGCCACATCCATGTCTTGCAGGCCTCAGGAGCAGCCTCCCCCCGCGGGCTGGGCACTTACCCCGCTGGTGCAACCGAGCAAAGGGCTGGAAATGCCGGGCATAGCTGAGGGCCTCCAGCTGCTTCTCAGGGCCACCGGCCAAGAGGCGGATAAAGTGCAGTCGGTGCAGCTTGAACTCCAGGGAGCTGTTGAGCTCCAGCAGGCGCTGCCTGTGGGAGATGGCCCATCTGGGAAGAAAGGGGCCAGGTTAGTGGAGCTGGTGGGGTAGAGAAGGACCCCTGGTCGAGTCAGGACCTGAGATGGATAAGCCAGCTCAAGCACATCTGGGGAAATCGAAGAGCACAGACAAGCCCTGTGCCCAGAAAGGCTGAGGCAGCAAGCCGCCACCCGCCCTGGGGGTGGGGGCAGGTACTTACTGCAGGGCAGGGCCCAGGTCCTGTTCGTGTAGAGCTTCCAGGATTCGGTTCAGCTCCAGGAAGGGCTGTTTGAAATCCAAGTCCACACTCAGTGTTGATTCCTGTGGGGAGAAAGATCCACCACTGGAAGACTGTTTCCAAAATTCTGCCAGGTACACAGAAAACTACTTCTGCCAGACAGGCTGCAGAGAGGCAGGGTGTGTGCTGGAGGAGCCGCGGTGCTGCCGGCCATCTCGGTGAGGCAAGGGCCACACAGGGACTTCCCAGCCTGCGGACTGCAAACCTCCCCCCACCACCAGAGCACGGGAGATGGACCTGGGCCAGCGTTAGGCGGCGTAGTCAGGAAATGACTCCTTTTCAATCCCCCTAGTTAGGCCAAGGCAGAAACTTTTTTACTGCACTGCCAGCATGTCTTTAACACCTGACCTCACTAACCCCTTTTTGGTTGTTTTGGTTTTTTTTGTTTTGGTACCGGGGATCAAACTCAAGTCCTTGCACTTGCACAGCAGGCGGCGAAACCACAGAGCTAAATCCCTGGCCCTCACTAACCCCTTTTTAATAAAGGGGTCTCGGGCCTCAGCTCAGCACCCTGGTGGCAACCAATTCTGACTGGAAACCAGAAGATTTGCTTTTCGCCGTGCATAGTTTTTAGAGGTACCTGCTGTTCATGTCAGGAAGACTGCTTTCCTCCCTAACAGGGAAAAGGACCAGATAACCACAAAGGGCAGGTCCTGTCCGCAGCTCTCGGCCCGGCCCTACCTGGCACAACTCCTCGGCAACGCTGAGCATGCCCTGCTGGTACAGGTGCTCCACGATGGCTGTCTGCAGCGTCTGCTGCTGCTTCTCTCGCGAGTCCCACACCGAGTCCGCAACCACGCCGCAGATCTCCGCGTCGAAGTTCTGCCGAGGAGGAGACAGGGCCCTGAGGCTCCATGCTTGAGATTGCTCCCCGCCAGGCTGCACTCACCAGCTCCAGTGCGGCCCCACCCCAGGCTGGCTGCTCACTCTGTCGATGGCTTTGCCCACTCGGGACACACTGCTGTGGATATCCTTGTGGTCCGAGGCCAGTTTCTGGACAGTGTCTCTGATCTTCCGGCAACACTGGGACATCACCAGGGACAGGGTGGCTGACAGGGGGGTGCCCTGGAGAGCTGTGGAGAAACAGTAGACTCAGGCACCACACACAGCACTGCACACCCACTTCCTGCAGACTGGGTCTCCGCTTCCTCTGCTCCAAACGCCGTGCAGTGAGCAGGAGGCAGCCCCAGCTCGTGACCCCAGCGTCTGCCACGCTTCCACCGCACGGCCTGGGGCCGGCCAGGTGAGACAAGCCAGTCCCGGTGATTTCACACCCTCATCGGTACACCTGTGGGCTGCCGGGATGTGAAGACCATTTGGCACTTTCTGGGGATTGAGTACCTCATTTTAATTCTTCTTTTTTTGGTACTGGGGATCGAACTTGGGACCTTGTGCTTGCAAGGCAGGCACTGGAACCACTGAGGTAAATCCCTGCCCCCCGAGGACCTCATTTTAAGCTCATTTACTCTACTATACATTCTATGTTTATCTGTCAAATGGTTACCATGTAATACAGTAATTCCACTTCCAAGAGAAATGAAATCATGTGTTCCCGCCAAAACTTGTATATCAGTATTCACAGCAGCATTATTCATAATAGCCACAGGTCGGAACAACTCAAATGTCTACCACCTAATGGATAAACAAAATATGATCTATCCATACAACAGAACGTGGCCCTGAAAGGAACGCGGGGCTGGCCCAGGCGGCCCAGGAAGGGCCCCGAAACACTGTGCTAATGAAGGAAGCCAGACCGACAGCCCCGTGTGGTGTGGTTCTTTATCTGGAGTACCCGAGCAGGCAATCTACAGAGGCACAAAGTAGAAAAGCCGCCGAGGCGGACTGGTGTTAATGCATCTGGTGTCTGTGGGGAACGATGAAAGTATCCCCAAATGAGAAAGTACTAATGAATGTGCAACTCTGTAGATTTAAAACCACTGAATTGTATACTCTAAAAGGATGAGCTTAGTGATAAGTGACTTACACCTCAAAGACATTGGAACTATGGCTTCTTGTGGTTAAATTTTTCTTTTCTTTTTTTTTTTTTTTGGTTCCGGGGATCGAACTCGGGACCTTGAGCTTGCAAGGCAGGCACCGGAACCACTGAGCTACATCCCCAGCCCAATTTTTCTTTTTTTGTCTGAGACAGTTTTACTATGTAATTCAGAGTTGCCCTGAATTCAAAGTGATCTTCCTGCCTCAGCCTTCTCAGTGCCAAGATTACAGCTGTGCACCACCACAGTCAGCCTTCTCTGTGAAGATCTAAGATGATGTAAACATGAAAGTAAGTAACAGAAGCTGAGCGCGGTGGTATGTGCCTGCAGTCCCAGCCACCCAGGAGGTTGAGGCAGGAGGCAGGAATGTTTGACTCCAGCCTGGGTGATTTAGTGAGATCCTGTATTAAAATAAAAAGAGCTGTGGATGTAGCTCAGTTCAAGACCCTGGGTTCAGCCCCCAGTACAATCAATCAAGTTTCCGAGACTGCAAAGTTGAGCCACAGTCATTAGGTGACAATATTACATCACTGTTTCACTGCTTGGTTTTGATGATCACAGTGCATTTACATAGGAAAAAGCTCTTTTTTTTCTTTTGTACTGGGGATCGAACTCGGGTCTTTGTGCTTGCGCAGCAGGTGGCGAAACCACTGAGCTACATCCCTGGCCCAGGAGAAAGCTCTTGATCTTAGGAAACACCCACTGAAGGGTTAGGGACACCTAAACTTACTTTTCAAATGGCTAAAAAGTAACAATATGCAAGAGAATGATACAGCAAATATTGCCACATGCTTGACAGACCTGGGTGAAGGGTATATGACTTATTTACACTATTCTTGGGACATTCCTGTAAATTTGAAATTATCTTAAAGGTTATTGAAATTTAGAAACAGAAAAGCAGGGTCTAGGCAAGCAGCTCAGAGCTGGCCTACCATGAATCAGGTCCTGGGTTCAGTCCCTAGCACCGTAAGGAAACAAACAAGCAAACAAAACGGTGAAGAACAAAATGGACATGGAAACAATTTCAGGTAAATTAATATTTTTGTTTTGTTTTTAAAGATGGCATCTCACTATGAAGCCCAGGCTGGCCTTGAACTTGATCCTCCTGCTTCAGCCTCTCAAGAGTGCTGGATTTACAAGTGTGTGCCGCCACACCCAGCTCCTGTTGGGCTTTTTTGACAGAGCTCAGAGGCTGACTGCCATTGCCTCCCTGCGGGAGGCCTAGAGATGCATGTGTCAGCATCCTACCCAACATCGCCCTCTGGCCAGTCACCAGGGAGCCCAGGCCCGCATGTCCACAGGCAGACACACACCTGCACTGGCCAGCTCGGCCCGCAGCTGGCCCACGTAGTGCAGCAGCTCCTCCAGGCTCCGCTCGCAGTGCTGCCCGTAGGTCAGGAACTTCTGCAGGACCTTGTCCAGTTCTCTCTCCACACAGGCGCACTGCTCCATGGCACCTCAGCCTGTGGAGGGGTGGCTGGCTCAGCCCCAGCTGGCTGGCCGGGGCAGAGGAGATTCCCAGACCACTGATTTCTCCAGAGCCCCCTCACCTTTCTCGGGTGAGTTTCTGCTTAACAAAACATCTAGCCACAGCTTCCCATCCTGTGCCTACTGGGTGCCCAGGTAAGAACCACGGTGAGAAAATGACAGTTTTCAACTCTTTTTACCCTCTTATTTTTGTTCGTCTCCCCTTTTAGTCAGCAGGCTACACAGCACACTAGAAATCCGCGCACTGCGTGTGGTCCTAGCTCATGTGTTTTCTTATGTTCTCTCGCCATGTACTGTGGTGACAGTGGCCAGGAAGCAGTCCTCGCCTGGCTGACAGGTGGAAATGTGGCATGGTGAATAAATGGCAACCGTGTCGGCCGGATGGGCCTGGCAGCCCCCCGCGGCTCTTGTGGCTCCATGCAGGGGACTGACTGCTTCATCCCTCAGGGGCCCTCTGCTCCCCTTGCCCATGTGTGTGCAGGCACTGCTGCAGGCAGCTGGCTCTGGCCGGCCCAGCCCGGCCTGGCCTGGCTCCCCGACTCTCACTGCACCGGGGCCTGCCTCACCCACCGCACTCCTCCTGCATCCCCTCCCACCCAGCTCGCTGCCTCCCTCCATTTCTGAGCAGCCCTGGCATCGAACGGTCCTCAGACTGTTGGCAAGAGCAGTCAGTTTTCCTCTCCACCGTCACCACGACCGAAATGAAGGGCAACGTCGCCCACCCCTCCACAGCAGAGCCCTGTCATCTGCCCTCCAAGCAGGCAGAGTAACGACGCAGAGAACCCCGCGCCCATGCAGACCATGGGGTCCCCCACTTTGACCCAACTCCTCCTCACCCGCAGCACCGTGGGTCCTGGCCTCATTCTACAATCAGTCTCCCTCCCAGACAGGAGACAGCGACAGGGAGATGGCCCTGGGCCACAACAGATCCGTACTTTCTCTCCTTACGTGGGATGACAGCACCACTCTAACACCTGTAATCGCGGCTTCCAGATGCTCTGCCCCATTGCTCCTAAACAAATACTCCACCCTGGGCGTGCGAGCCATGGGCGGCATGTAACAGGGACTCCTGTCCAGGACGGTCCTCGCCACTGCTCTCATTAACACCTGCCATTTCACAAGGCCTCATTACGTGCTAGGCACTGCCGATGACTTCACACGCATTAACTCAATGACTTAATTCTCAGAACCATGTACAAGGTAGTGTGGCTACTGGCCCCGCTTTGCAAAGAGACAATGAGACACAGGAAGGTTGGGAGGTGGAGGAGTGGGAATGGGAGCCCAGCGGTGGCCACAGGCTCCTTCCCTTCAGTGCTGTGCCTCAGGTGCCCTCAGGACCAGCCAGACAGACCACTGCTTCACCAGGAAAGGAAAGCAGCAAGTATTTGTGGTTGGGATAAACGTACCGCAACCATCACTGACGACGATGCACAGGAAGCAAGCCATGCAGCCTGTGAGAACCATCGCTGGGGAAGATGGGAGACAGGAGAATGTTTGCCAAGAGTGTCTGGGAACCAGAGTCACAATTTACCAGAAATAAACACAGCTTGGGAAGGGTCCAGATGTCACCAAAGTCAAACAGTCTGGCTCTGTCGGACACCAACGACACCAGGAGTCAACATCTTGAGACTGTATGAAAAGGCAGAGAGGGCCAGGGATTTAGCTCAGTGGTTCCAGTCTCATAAGCGCAAGGTCCCAAGTTCAATCCCTGGCACCAAAAAAAAAAAAAAAAAAACGGACGCAGGATTTTCCCTGTCTGTTGGGGTAAGGAGACGATGTGAGGGCCTGGTCACTAGAGGATCCAGGTGCAGGGTGACGTGGGGGACGCGTGGGGGACGCGTGCATGGCAGTTCACGCTCACTTAGAAACTGGGTTCCAGGTGCGTCCAGAGCAACATCAGTAAAACCCCAAACATGGTCTTGGCAGGGAATAAAATGAAGTCAGGGCAGAACACTAGTTGTGTAAATTAAACATGTATGCACAAAAACCAAGGCAAACAAACAATATAGCAAATAAGAGGATGTACAGTTATCCCCTGGTGTCCATGAGGAATTGGCTGGAGGACAGCCTTGGATACCAACATCCACAGGTGTTCGAGTTTCATACAAAATAGGACAGTACTTGATAAAACGGACAAACACCCTTCTCTCTTGTAATTTAAATAAAATTTTTAGTGTTGGGTGTTTTGGTGCTGGGGATCAACCCTGGGCCTCAGGCTTGCTAAGCTGTGCTTTACCACCGAGCTCTACCCCACAGTACTTTCTTTTGCAATACTGAGCAAAAAATTGAATCCAGGGCCTTTGCACTGAGCTACCTTCCCAGCCCGCCCCCCTTTTTCTTTTTTTTCTTTCTTTCTTCTTTTTCCAAATGGATCTTGCCCAGTTACTAGGTTGCCCAGACAGGGCTCGAACTTGTGAACCTCTCTATTCAGCCTCCAAGAGTGCTACAAGTACAGGCCTGTGCCACTAAGCTTGGCTTTCCGCATATTTTTGACCTAAGATTGGTTGAACCCACAAATGCTGAAGCCGTAGATACAGAGCCTCAGCGGTATTCTAAATGCATGACTGCTTTCCTACAGTGGGAACAGCAGGGAAATGGGGGTGATAAGGGGACACATAAATAATGCAGACAAGGAAAAGGCCTCACGTGACCAATTAAACATACAACGACCTGAGAAGTGTGATCAGCCAGGTATGGCGGCACCTACCTGCAATCCCAGCACTTTGCAAGGCTGAGGCAGGAAGCAAGCTTGAGCCCAGCCTGGACAATTTCATGAGACTCTGTCTCAAAATTAAAAAACAAAGCATAGGTGGGGGTGGAGTGGGGTGGGGGAGAGAGCCCGGTGAGAAAGCCCTGGTCTGGGTCCCCAGCACCTAAAAACTTAAAAATTAAAACAAGTGGCTGGAGGTGTGACACCTGAGTGGGAAAGTACTTGCCTAGAACACCTGAGGACTGGGTGTGATCTCTGGAACCACAAAGAAACTTTTTTTTGAGACAGGGTTTTGCTATGTAGCCCAGGCTGCCTCAGACACACAGGGATCCTCCTGCCTCAGCCTCCCGAGTGCTGGGATTACAGATGTAAATCCACACTTGGCTAAAAATAAATAAAATTTAAAAGAAAAATGAGCTGGGAAAATAACTGCTTGCAGGTATTCCATCCAAAGAGCTGAGCAAAGGAGTCAGGCGTAGCGGCCCACACCTGTAATCTCAACTACTGTCAACTGAGGGAGGAGGACCACACATTTGAGGCCACCGGATAACTTAATGAGACCCTGTTTCAAAATTTTAAAAAGTGGGGGAGGGAACCCAGGTTTGGTGGCACACACCTGTAATCTCAGCACTCAGGAGGCTGAGGCAGGAGGATCACCAAGAGTTCAAGGACAGCCTGAATTACATAGTGAGACCTTGTCTCACAAAACCAAAAAAAAAAAAGGGGTGGGGGGATAGGGATATAGCTCGTGGTAGAGTACTTGTGTAGCATGGGAAAGACCCTGATTTCAATCCTCAGTATTGGTGGAAAAAACCAAAGTTATCCAAAGAGCACAGGAGCTGGGCCAAGGATTTAGCTCAGTGGTTCCGCCGCCTGCTTCACAAGCGCAAGGACCTGAGTTCGATCCCTGGTACCAAAAAAAAAAAAAAAGAAATTCAAAGAGCATCGGGCCAGGGGTTTAGCTCAGTGGTTCTGGCATCCGCCTTGCAAGCGCAAGGTCCCGAGTTTGATCCCCGGTACCAAACAATCAAAAAGCACAGGAGCTAACGGGGTGGAGTCAGAGGGAGCCTCGAGGCCGGAGTCAGCCCGTCATCCGTCCTGAACACAAGGAGCCATGAGCGCATTTGTCTGACAGAGCTCACGAGTAACGCAGGAGCCAGTGACTGGAATCTCATGTCCACTGGTCCTATACCTTCCTCCCCCAGGGTCTTACAGGTATCGAGATGACCCACCAGGGTGATCGCTCCAAATCGCAGGTCGCCTCTGCCTCCCCGTGGCTCTGCATCGCCCTGGCTTGACATGCAATTACACTTTCGCCTCCTCTGCACAAGACACCATCACAGGATCCTGGGGCCCTCTGCCCTCCAGCCCCCACGGATGACACCTCCCTGCCTCACACACCTGTCCAGGGGGTGCGAACTACACACATCAGAGTCCCCCTGTGGAAGCAGCATGGTAACTCCCTGTTCACTCCCACAAGCTGCTCAGGGGCTGGAGATCAGTCCCACCTCCCCTCTCCTTTCAGAGCCCAGGCCCCCCCACCTGCTCCACAGGTGGGCACCCAGGAAGCATCCGCTGATTAAGAGGTGCATCCATTTCCGAACCTCTGGCCTGGAGGGCCTGAGCTCAAACCCGAGAGATGGGCAGAAAGAGCATGAAGTAAATATTAACATCTCCACCAAGGCAGGCATGGGGCTTTGCTTCCAGTTTGCAGCATCCTGAGACAAGAGGGCTCCTGGGGCTGGGAGAAGGGAAGTTTGTGGAAAACGCTGGCCTCCACTGGCACGATTCTTACACCTTTACAGCCCTTCTCTTCCACCTAGCAAGCCTCTGCTTAACTGGCAGACTCCAACCGTCCTCAGAGTGCGATCCCGACTCCTCATCTCCCAGCACTGCTCTCACCTGCTGTCCTCTAGCCACGCTAGCCTTCGTTCACACTAGACCATGTCCAGTCTATTTGTGCCTCAGGACCTTTGCACTGCTCTGCCCTCGGCGCCGACACTCTTTCCCCCATCTCCTAGGGCTGGCCCCTTCTCACTTGGTCTCCACACACACGCGGTACCTACGCAGACTCCTCTACCCCGCCTTCACAGTCACCTGCCGTCCGTCTTGTCCCTTCCGCACATCCCCATTTGATGTCTCTGTTCCTCCTTTTCTCGTTAGACAAAACTGGAAGGAAAAAGCCCCCCTTTCCCCTGGACAGCAGCCCCTTCTGGGATTCCCCCTGCATCGGCGGGCAGGTGACTGGCAAACTCCTCATCGTTCAGGGGACCCCGCCTAGGGCCCTGCCGGACCCGCGCGCCCTGAGGTTACCTCGGCCGGCCGGGCAGCGCCAGGACCGGGCTGGGCCGGGCGACCGCGGCGGCTCTTCAGGGCGCGGCCCGGGCCCTGTGGTCTCCAGGTCCCCGCCGGCCCGACGGCGGCTCGCTCGGGGCCTCCGGACACGGCCCGGCCCGGCCCGGCCGCCCTGCCTCCCCTCCCCGCCGCGCACCTCAGCCCGCCGGCCGCGCCCCGAGCCCGCCGACTCCCGCAGGTCGCCCCGGCTTCCGGCGCCGCTGTCACCAGAACCGGAAGTCGCCGCGGCGGCGCGGTCTGGACTCGCGCATGCCCAGTCTCGTGGCGCGCGCCCGGTGGCTGCGGTCTGACCCACGAGTCTCCCGCTCCGCGCCCCGCACCCGGCTGGAGGGTGCGGACTGAACCCGCGCTCGCCGGCGGTGCCCCCGGGCAGGAGCGGCCCCAGCGCCGGCCGGCGGAGGCGGGAGCGATTTAAAGACGTGTCTCAGTAAAAGACGGGAAGAGCCCCGGGTGCCGCGCGGGGAGCAGCCCCGGGTTCAGGCCCGGAGGTGGGGTGCGGGGGTCGCGGGTCGGAGGGAGCTGGGCTGCAGTCGGCTCCAGGTCGACGGAGCCCGCGAAGAGGAGGTGGGGCGGGGATCCCGAGCCCCCAGCCTCTCGGGCCTACCCTGGAGGGAAGGGACAGAGGCGACCGCCCCTCACGGGCCCCAGCCGCGGCGGGGGCACCCGGTGGAGGCCCCGGCCGCTTCCCGATCTGCATGCAGCTCCCTCGTCCCGGTCTCTTTCCCGGCCACCCCTCCGCCTTCTGCCCTGCACCCTCCACCCTTGCACAATGCTGTTTTGTTTTCTTTGCCGCGCTTGCACAATCCAGCTCTGCTTGCTTTGTAGCCCTGGCTTGAAGTCTTGTGTTTATTTGTTGTGGGGCCGGCTGGGTCTGCATCCCCGCCGAACACAGTAGGTGCCCAGAGGCGAGGGCCGGTGGTGCCGGAGCCTGGGTGGTCCCGGCCCCACGCCGAAGGAAGCCGCGGGGGCGAGGAGCTGCAGGGCCCCGCCGAGGTCGGCTGGACCTCACAAGCTTTTGAGAACGCCCCGGGCGGCCCCACTGCTCCCCAATCCTGGCCGAGTGCAGAGCAAAGCCGGCCTTGTCCGGAATCCGCTCGGCCGCCCACACGTGGCCTTTCCCCTGTCACCGGCTCCGCGCATCCCGCACTCTGCACCGAGTTGTATCACACGGTGGATGTTCTTCCTCACTGGGATCGTGTTTTTGGTTTTTGAGGGGGGATTGTTTCAAAGCAGATTGCTTCATTAGCTGCTTTCACAAATTCAGCAGTAGTTGAACTTTTTGCCAGTTTCCTCGGATTTGATTCTTAAAATGTAATTTAAAAGTAGAAAAACAGTGGGAGACTGAGGCAGGAAGATCACAAGTTCGAGTCCAGCCTGGGCCACTTGGCAGAACCACCTCACAATTTAAAAAGAGCTGAGGATGTAGCTCGGTGTAAAGGTTCTGGGTTTAAGCCCCAGGACATGGGCAGAAAGAAGAAAAACAAAACCAAACCCCAGCCAGTGCCCTCTTATTTCAGAAGGATTGGTGCAAATGTGAGTCACTTCCTCTTAGCCTTTGCATTTAACTTCCTGGTAACTCTTCCTTCTTTACCCTCTCATTTCCAAACACCAGTATTTTTCCCTACAAAGTGGAATCTCTGTTTTTCATGCTTTCCATGGAAGTGTAGAACATATTTTTCCATCAATCTGCTATATAGTTTCTCTTGCTATTTTATAGTGTGTTCTGACATTACATATTAGGTGGGATTAAACACTTTTCACAAAAAGGAAGAAAAGAAAAAGCCCATAAGGAACACTGCAAATTTGTAAGTTCTTGACTAGCAAGGATAAGCCCTTCCGGGTCAAGGGCCCTCTTGGAAATGTGGCCTGTTCCTTGCCTCTTGGCCGCGGGCCTGGAAGGCAGAACTAGAAGGTAGAGGTGGGGCACAGTGTGTGAGGCAGACATGGCCCAGCACCAGGGGTTGCAGCTGCCTTCCCCGCCAGCCCCAGGCCCCACTGAAGTCCTGCGGCTCCAAGTCAGTGCCCTCGCTCCTCTCCCTGTTGTCTTTCCTTGAAAGTCTGTCGTTGATTCTGGAACTATGCACTTCATTTGCAGGTGCGTAGCAAAATAAAAATGTGAGGCACCTGTTAGAACACAATTACAAAGTTCAGGATGGGTGGGCGTGGTGGCCCATGCCTATAATCCCAGCTACACAGGAGGCTGAGACAGGAGGACCTCAGGTTGGAGGCCAGCTTGGGAAACTCAATGAGGTCCTGTCTTAAAAACAGAAAGAGCTGGGGATGTAGCCCAGCACTCCCTGAGCTTGATCCTAGTATCACTATTGCACATGCACACGCACATGTTTAAGCCGGTGACAGGAGAGCAGGACACCAAACTTATGTTGGGTTGTGTGTGTTGGCCCTGGTTTTTGCCTTCCCTTTCTCTGCTCCCCCAGATGTCTGGGCAGGACCCCTCCCGGAACCTCCCCCATACTTCCCTAGGACCAAGTCCAGACCCATCGCAAGGGGCTGCCGTCTCACTCTGCTCCCAAGGGAGAGGCAAGTGCTTCACCCTTAGGGAAGGACAGCATGGCCCTGCCCTCTGCCTTGACCATGTGAGCCCGCACTCCCGCTCCCGAAGAGCAGAGCAGAGCCTCGTGAAAGGACACCTGCTCCTGCTGGCACCCTTTTTCACTTCCTAACTCCGTGAGGGGGTCCCCGGGTCATCACCAGGGCCTGCACCCTCTTTGGAGAACCGCTGCGCACAGGCGCTGGGCCTCGGCTTCTGACCCGAGGGCGGCCACAGCGCGTCCCTGCTGAACGGAAGGTGACGGGCTCTGCAGGCTCTGCTGGGCACAGACCTGGCACGCGCGGGTGCCCACGAATGGCTCAGCGCCACAGCCTTGCCCGCCTTGAAGCCTTCCTCACCCTCAGGCGGAGGTCTGGCCATGCCTGCCTCCACTTCCCTGGTGCCTTGTAGGGCTGGAGCCAAGGTGGGCTTGGGGAGGGAGACAGAGGCCACCGCCCTGCCTGGCAATGCCTGCAGCCCAGCAGAGAGAATGGCAAACTGACGATCACAGCAGCTGATGGAGACGTACGGCGGGGGGGGGGGGGGGGGCTGCGGGCACAGCAGGGGAGCTCGGGGTCCCCTTGACAAGGCAAGAGCTGAGCGCTGCCTGCCTCCTCTGCGCGGGGCGCCGGGGCCCAAGCTGGGCACCACAGCTCCCTGTTCTGGCTAGGCCCAGGGCCTGCTCCACTCACCTTTCCTCCTACCCTCCAGGCGGCTCCACATCAGTGCCCTGCCCCCTCCCCATGTCCCCCCTGTAGATCTGTGGTTCTACCCAGGCCTGGAGAGGACAAGGGTACAGAGAGCTTTGAGGGGCGCTGAGGTCACTGGGGTCGGAAGAGACCGCTGTCAGTGACCCTGGAGGCCAGAGAGGGGGAGGCCTCGAGCAACTGCTAAGGGGCTCACGAGCTGCTGGAAGTGTGGCACTGGACAGAAGGGGACAGGGCCCAGCAGCACGGTGCAGGGCTGGCCACACTTCTAGATGGAAGGGTTGCTGGTGCAGGTGTGCCGGGGAGGCGGAGCCTCAGGCCGTGCAGGCGCCAGGCCTGGCAGGGAAGGGCTCCCCAAAAGGCGGCCCGACGGTGATATGACCCAGTGACAGGGGCACCTGTGATGTGCGGGCCCCAGAGCCACCCAGCCTGCTTGGGGACCAGCGAACTGGTTTGCCTGGCGCAGACAGACATCTGGGAGGGCCCCGTGCCCTCCCCCTACTTCTGGGCCAGGCCTCGGTTTCTGGCATGGCTGCCAAGTTTTGGTGCCGCCCACCCACTCCCCGCTGGCGGTTCTGGCCGGCCCAGCTCCCTAATTGCTGGGTGGGGAGCTGTTCTGCTGGGCTGGGGGGTGAGCCCGGCTCGGGCACATGGGCACCACGCCTAACCAGCTCCTGCCTATGGGGAGGAAATCTTCAGGTCAACACCTGAGGGCCCAGTGGTCCAGAGACAGGTTTGGAAGGGGCTAGGCAACGGGAGAGGGTAAGTATCAAGGTCTCCGGGGACTGCCCTGCCTAACCCAGGCGTTTCCTGGAGGACCCTAGCTCAGGTATGGGCCTGGACAGGTCTCCCCTGGGCCCAGGGTCTGTCTAGGACTCAGGATCCACCCAAGCTTAGCAGCTCCGAGGGGCTGGGGCTGGCGGGAAGGAATGGGGCAGAGGGACGGTTAGGAAGCAGCCTCCCTGGCCTCCAACCCAGGGCCCAGCTTTGGGAGGCCAGGTGCCCAAACACGCCCTCCACCCACAAGCACACCTGCCACTCGGGGCCATAAACAGCATCCCCACAGCAGACAACTCACGAGCGCCACGCTCCACCCCAGGAAAGGTAGGGCCCCTCAGCTTCTCCACAGCCCACTGGCCACGCACCCTGGCACCCCCAACCTGGACCCACCCGCGGACCCGAGGGGTGCTGCGTATGACGGGGGGACCGAGGGACAGCCAGTGGGAGCTACCCGGGGGCCCCATTCCCTCAGAGGCCCAACCAGGGAAGGGACAGCAGGGCAGATGGCCATGTCCTGACCCCACGGGGCAGGAAGTAACTGAATTTCACCCTGAGCCTCAACCCACAAGGGTCCCATGTAGTTAGCACTGGGCACGCAATGACCGCAGCCATCTCAGTGATGCGCAGGAAGGGAAGCAGCTTTGTCTCGGTGGGCGGGTGGAGGAGACGTCACTTGTACCAGGTCAGCAGCCCTGAAGGGGAACAGCCCGAGGGGAGGCCAGACTACTGGGTCAGGGTGGCTGTGGGTTTGACGGGAGACCTGGGACTGGCCTCAGCTGACGTAGGTGTCAAGCAGGACTGGACGTTCTGAGGCCAGGTACTGGGGAGTGAGAGACTGCGTCTTCCCAGGCTGGAGGATGGCAGAACACAAATTAGATGCTATCTCACCCCGGCTGGATGACACCCACAGGGCCCTGCTTACAGGGAAACATCTCCTTCCTAGCTCTGGTAAAGATCCTGCTCCAAATGATGCCAACTGTGCCCCTTCCCGGGCCGCGCGCCTACAGAGGGAGGGGTGCGCACGGGAAGGTGGGGGTGGCTGTGGACAGGGCAGGGGCTTTGGACGCCAGGGGAAGCTGTCTTACGGGCCCAAACCCAGCACTGGCCTGGGTGCCCGGGGCAGACGTGCCACCAAAGAACAGCCCATGTTCTTGAAACCCTGAGGTTGGTTTGCCCTTTTGTTTTCCTGGAGTTCTCTGGTATTGTTCCTTTTGAAAGATCCACTGGCGCTGCAAAAAGGAAATTTCAGCCCACATGGATGCTAAGGAGCTGAGCAAGGACGACGGCCCTTCCACCCCGCACACGGGACCAGCAGCTGCAGACAGGCACAGGCACAGGCACAGCCTCGAGCAACAGCGGCCTTGGGGGCTGCCACGCACAGCCCGGGTCGCAGCCTGGCCCGACCATCAGGACCTGGGCACTCAGGCAGGGATGGGCCCAAGCACCACAGGGGCCTCCTCGTAGAAAACGCGCTTTTATTCAGCAGGAGGCCAGAGCTCTGGTCTCAGGCTCCTTCCACCGAGGAAGCCTCAGCGCGGGTCCGAAGCCTCCCACTCCCACCTGCCCCTGTGCATCCCTGGGCCCTGGACTCTCCGCCTCCTTCCCTGGGCCACACTCACTCCAGGGAGCGGTGCTGGGCCTCGCCGGGGCGTTCCTCTGCCGGGAGGGCGTGCCCTGGCTCCTGCAGCCAGCACCGACCAGCCCTCCCCGCGCAGGCCGCCATCGCTGGGCTGGCTTCTGGCCCGGCCAGTGGCAGGGCGGGCGGCCATCTCCGTCTCCGGGCATCTTCTGACACTGTCTGCTGTCAGCTCGCTCGCTTGCTCGCTCTCCGGGCCTAGATCTTGGAGGACTCCAGCCGAGGACTCCAGGGCGCCAGGGGCTCCCGCAGCTCCCGCAGCTCCTGCTCCAGGGCCTGGTTGCGGCGGTACATGTCCACGTAGCCCCCCTGGATCTCCCGCTGGTAGCGCAGCACCTGCTCCTTCTCCTCCTGCCAAGTCCGCCGCTCGTGCTCGAAGCGCAGCGCCTGCTCCTGGCCCCGGAGCCGCTCCTGCAGCAGCTCTGCCCGCAGCTGCTCAGCGCCGTCCCCGCTCTCGCTGCCTCCGGCCTCCCCCAGCAGTCCCCTGCTCTTGCAGTCATCAGTCTCACAGCTGCCCGGGGCCTCCTCCCGAGGGGCCTGCTCCTGCAGGCTGCGCACGGCCTCCCGCAGCCGGGCCAGCTCCGCATCCTGGGCCTGGGCCTGAGCCTGGCTGCCTCGAAGCTGCGTCTTCAGATTGAAGATCTCGGCCAGCTTCTGGGCCAGCTCGGCCTGGGCTTCCCGCAGCTGCTGCTTCAACAGACTGATCTCGGCTGTCTTCTGGCACACCTGGGGGTCAGAGCCGAGCCGGGGTGAAGGAGCCGGGCACAGCAGGGTGCGGGGAGGGGGCGTAGGCGGGACAGGGCACCGTGTGCCAGCGCCTGTCTGAGCCCTGGCTGTCGCTCACCTCCCATCGGGCTTCCTCCTCGGCTCGGGCGCCAGGGTCAGCCTCGGGGAGGGAGCCAGGGGGCCGCTCTGGGCCCAGGCCCTGCTGAATCCGCAGCTCTTTGCGCAGCCGCCGCTGCTCCTGCTGGGCCATGAACAGCTGCAGCTGGAGGTTGCGCTGGCTCCGCTCAGCCTTCTGGGCCACCTCGTGCAGCCGCTCCACGTACAGGCGCTTCAGCTCAGCCAGCCACAGCCACTGGCGCTCCTGCAGCACCTGCCGGGATCCAAACCCGAGCGTCCCCAGCTCAGCACCCCAACACGCTCAGCACCCCAACACGTCCAGCACTGCTAGCTTCTCCGCATCTACACCACAGAGCCCGGCCTCAGTGCCACGCTGTGCACGCACCCTGAGCCAGGATGCGCTGCAGGTGTCCCCACCTGTGGCTACCCGAGAGCCTCCCTCCACTCAACTCCCGGGCAGGACAAGGATGGCAGCGATCAGCACCTCTGCGGAGGGAAGTGGGGAAGCGCAGTGGTCCCCCTCAGTCTTCCTTCCTCCCCCGGGGCCATGTGCGGGAGCAGGGGCAGCCCCACCTGTGTGAAGGGGTTGGTGTCATCCTGGTCACCAAAGTCCCTCTTGAGCTCCTCACAGGTCTCCGGCAGCAAGGCCACCACCTCGTCGGCAGTGGGGCAGGACAGCTCATAGGGCGGCGGGGGCTCGGGCAGGCAGCTCAGCACAGCCAGAGGCCCTGCCTCCTTGGGGCTCCTCGGGGCTCGGTCCAGGGAGCCCCCAAGGCGGTCAATGTGGCCCAGGGAGGAGCTGAAGGGGCTGGGCCGGGCGCCAGGACTGCGACCGAAGCTGCCCCCACTGGAGGAGTCGGACAGGCTGGGCTCGGGCTCGGGGCCCCCCTCATCCAGGCTGAGGGCGTGTAGCAGCTGTGCTCGGGCCTCGCTGGCCCGGGGCCCCGGGCTCAGGGGTGGGTGGCAGGCCAGCGTGTGCAGACTGCCGTTGCTGCGCCACAGCTTCTGGCCCTTGTGGGCCGCCAGGCTCTGCATGGACAGGAAGCCTTTCCCGGTGCTCCCTGACGGCTTGAACACCGACGGGCGAATACGGCACTGCCAGGGAGAGAGCAGCCGTGAGACGCTGGGCCGGCCGTGCTCACCCTCCTGACGCCCCGCAGCCCTGGGGATCTCTGAAAACATGGGGCGCGTGCTCCTGGGCCAGTGACCCGGCCCGGCCAGCCGGCCTGTCCTGTCCTGTCCCCACCCCGGCCCCGCATCAGGGTCCCCGAGGCCCCGGCCCGCCCACGTCACACACAGGGCGCGGGCAGGCACACCTTGTCAAAGCGACCGCGCTCCGGCAGCGAAGTCTTGCTGAAGTCCCCGGCCCGAGGGTGCTCCCGGTAGTAGAGGGTGGCATAGTCGGTGGCCTCACTCCGAGGCACCCGCTTGGTGGTCTTGCCGTCCTTCTTGGGGAGGTGCAGATAGCTGAGGAGCTCACGCTGGCCTAATCCTTTCCGGAGGAGCCCATCCGGCTGGCGAGGGCCCCGGGACCTGGCGAGCACTGCCCGAAGCTCTTCAGGGGAGAAGTCCTGCCGCTCCAACAGGCTGCCCACGCTGCCCATGGCAATGCCAGCAGGGCCCGGGGCTGTGGCCATGAAGTTTCAGCAGGATACAGGGAGCTGCCTCTGGGAGTCGAGAGGACCATTAGGGGCCAGCGAGCACTTGCTGACCAGCTCCTCGGGTCCCTAAACCAGGCACTTGCCACCTGTTAGCCTTCGGACATGCCTAGGCTCAAGAGAGGGAGATGTGAGTGGGTACCGGACAGAATCCCAGGACAGGATCCCTAGCACGGCAAGAAAAATGGACACCAGCTTCAAAGCCACCCACCCACCCGGCATCTGCTGGATGAAGTCTAAGGAGAAGGAAGCGGAGCATTGGTTGGGTCACCAAGGGACACCTCCAGCTCGGGGCCTGTGCGGCTTGGAGGAGAGGGCAGGTCCTCAGCCAGTGGGACGGGGCCTGGCTCCCGGAAGGACAGACTCGGGTGGGCTCGCCTGACGCGGGCCTCCGTCACTCTCCCGCCAGGGTCCCACTGCATTTGCAGGTGGAGAGGAAGCTCTGTACACAGGGCCTGAGGGACTCTTCCTCTTTCTTCCCTGGGATAACCGGATTACCCACTCAGCCCCTTTTCCGGCAAAGGTCAGAGCTCCCCAGGGAAACATCTGGTGTGGGTGGGGCTGGGGCTACAGAGGAGGGATACAAAGGAAGGGCCCATGGGAGGAAGGATGGCCTCACAAACAGGAAGCGCACAAGGGGGAACAATGGCCAGTTCCGGGACAGGTGTTCAGGTCCGAGCAGTGACGGGGGCCAGAGGGAAGCAGCACTTGCTGGCTGCAGCTGTTACACACCAGGCAGGCCTGTCCTGAGGAGCCGGTGGGTGAGACCCTGGCCACACCCAGACTCTCAGGGCCTCGGCCCCCTCTAGGACAACAGCAAAGACAGCTCTTCTCACACAGGGATGCTGGCATGAGATAACACGGGAGTCCCGGGCCTGGCCTGCAGCCAGGGTCATCGGGGGCTGCTGAAGCTGCGCTGTCACCCCATCCCCCACCTGTGTGGGGCCCGACACTCTGGAGGGAGCTGCTGGAACAGTGCCTGGCCCAGTGCCTGCACACAGTGGGTGCAAATGACCTGCAGCAATGCCACCTTCCCTGCCTCCCACCCACACCCGGCTGCTCCCGGCTCGGAACAGATGCCCAGCAGGCAGGCAGCACTGGGAGGGTCCCCAACATGCTTCCGGGACACCCACTCCCCTGTGCCCCAGACAATGGCCCTCAGGAGGCTCCATCTTCCTCAACCATTTCCAGGTTTTGTGTTTGTCAAAGACAAAGCCCTCCCGGAGGAGCAGGGAGGCCAGCCCTGTCCCCTACCCACACTACAGCCCTCAACCACACCCGGGGCAAAAGTAACTGTCCTGGGCTTCCCCGCACAGCCTCCAGGAGCGGGCACATCTGACTTGGCAAAGGCAGCCCAGCCCCATGTGAACAGGGCCAAGCCTTGGGGGGCATCTCAGGCCGCATAGGCTTGGGGACGCACCCGGTCCTGGGCCACTTACTCCCCCTGACAGGTCCCCGGGCTCAGAAAGGTGAAGTGACTCACCCAAGGTCACAGTGCTAGTCAAGGTGAGGAAGCCCAAGATCCTGGCACCAGGCTCCAGCCAGCCCTCTCCACCCACTTCCCTTTGCCCTGCCTCAGTTTCCTCCCTTGCCCTGCCTTCCTTGTAAGGCCGCTGTGAAAGTCAGAGTGACAAGGGAGGTGAAAGGGCTTGCGAAGTGTTAAGCCCTGAGTGGCCAGGCCGGAGATGCTGGCAGAGACACCAGATACGCCCACTGCACCCCAAGCACCCACCTCCTCTCCTTCCCCTGGGCAGATGCTCACTTCCGGTCTCGGGAGAGACAGCCTGTGATACTCTTCCTTCCCGAGTGTCTCGGCCACAGGAGCTGCTGCAGCTCGTGGGCCACGCCACTGCCTACACCACACACAGAAAACACTGTGTCACGTGTAGGCCCCACCCAGTAGCACAGAGAAACCTATTCTAGAGGACACGGTGAGGACAGTCCTGTCTGACAGCAGTCAGCAGCCGGGTGCAAGGTCGCCCTGGCCCTTCCCAAGTGCTATCAGCCCCCAGCGGGCTGGCCCCTCACAGCCCGGGGCTCAGTCTGGGGACAGGTGGTCCCTTTCCGAAAGGGCCCCTCCCGGCCCACCCCTGCTCGACACACACACATTCCTTCCTTCCGTTGCTTGGAAGCCCTGCGACTTCAACTCAGGCCAAGGCAGCTGTGCAGGCTGGGGAGGAGAGGACTTGGAAGGAGACAGGAGAGAGAGCACGTGCCAGGCAACCTCCCTGGGACTCCGGAACAGAGACGGCAGGGCAGAGAGCAGGGCCCTCTCCAGGGCCAAGCCCTGGGCTCTGCACCCGCAGCAGGGTGCCCGTCCCAGGGCCCAGAGCTCTCCTGAGCTGAAAATCCACCCTCACCAGCTGCCCAGCAGGGCCCTCTCTCCTGTCCCTCCACCCCCACCCCAGATTAGCCCTGAACACATAGAAGCATTTCTCATGGCCCGATCAGGGTGGAGACAGGCAAGGAAGCTGCCCTGGCCACCAAGCAGAGGAAGAGGACACACAGGGAGGCTGCCAAGGCCCTGGGCACCACTGCTGCCCCGAAACACACGCATGGGAGATGTCAGGAGGAGACTGGGGCCGAGGAGCAGAAACTGTGAGCCCAGGGCCATGCTCAGCTGCAGAGAAAGTGTGCAGGCTCTCAGGTTCAGGACCTGTCCCGACCCCAGCTGCACCTCCTCTGGGGTGGGACACCCTGCCCCAGCTGAAGTCCTGCCAGTTTCAGCTGTGGTCGGCAGCTCCCAGGCCCTGGCCCTGGGAGGGTCCGGCACCTTCGGAGGCTCAGCCCTGTGAGGGTGTGCCTGCAGCTGCCCCAGGAATGAGACTGGAATGCCCGGCTCCCAGAGGGGGAGTGGGTGGCAGGCATGGCGGGAGGGCGAGTTGGCAGACCCTGTGCCCCTGAGCCAGACACAGGCTCTCAGGCAGGGTCCCTGCGGCCCTCCACGACTGCACAGCACCCTGCCTCATCCTACCGTGTCCTCTCCACAGCGGCCGGCCAGGCAGGCTGGTCAGGAAGGTCTCTTTCCATTTTACAGACGGAAACCGAGGCCAGAGGGAGAGAGCTGTCCCCACAGCGGGCGCCCGGCGCGGTCCACTGCACGGGGCTCTGGCCGCCCGGGGTCACCTTGCCCCGCCTGCCTCCGGCTTCCCCAAGGGCGTCTGCAGCCAGGCTGTTCGAGCGGGCTTCTCCCTGGCCTGGGATCCCTCCTGTCTGGCCCAGGTGCAGAGAGGGGCAGCAGACGGCGCTGGCGCGGGGACTTCCAGGCCCGGAGTCTGTCGGAGGCGGCGCGGAGCGGGCTGGCGGGCTCCGTCTGGCGCGCACCCACGCGGGGACTGGGGCGCCCGCCTGGGAGGAGGCTGCACCGGCCGGCCTGGCTCTGCCCGCGGGCCCCAGGCGCTGGGGGCGGCTGGGGCGCGCGTGGCCCTGTTCTCCGAGTCCAGCCAGGGCCCGGCCCCACTCGGGCCACAGGCGAGGCCAAGCCCGCAACACCCGGGGCGCTGCGCCTTCAGGTCCGCAGCTGCACGCGGGGCGGGCACCCCAGGGAGACCCGGCGAGGGGTCCCCGAACCGCGGGCAGACCCGGGGCCAGGCCCGGCGCCCACACCGCCGCCGGCCGCGACGCGGCGTCCCCGCGAGGCTGGGGACGCTGCAGGCGGGGGGCCCGGCGCCTCCCTCGGCCGCCCGCCGCCCGCCGCTCACCGTGCGCTCCCGCGGCTCCAGCCCTCCGGGGCCGGCTCCGGCCGAGACTGCACGCTGCGCCGGGAGACGCGGGCGCCCAGCCGGACGGGCGAGGGAGGGGCGCTCGGCGGCGGCGCCCGGCCCCGGAGGCGGAGGGAAAACCCGGCCTGACTCGGCCGCGCGGAGCCGGACCGCCCCGCTCCGCCCCGCCCCCCCTCTGGCAGCCGGTGGGAGCTTCCCTGCCCTCCCAGGCCCAGCCCTGCACAGCAGCACTCAGTGTGGGTGTCCACGGGTCAGACGGGCGGCAGTGAGACCCGAGGAAGACGGGATAACGAAGACCTGCCCAAGGCTATTCACATGCAAAAAGTGGACATCCTGTTTCTTCCTGAAAGTTAACCCTAGGATTATGGTAGGACCCAGCCGTTCTGCCCTCGGTATGTATCCAGACAATTGAGATCAGGTACTCAGACAGGTACTTGTTCGAGAATGTTCATAACAGCCCTGGGCATCATAGCCAAAGTGAGAACAGGCCAAATTGTCCAACAGCTGATGGATAAACGGAAGATCCACCGGTGGAATATTATTCAGCCACGAAGAGGAATGGAGCAAGAATCATGCTATACCTGGTACAAAACTCCAGAACTTACGTCAAGTGCAAGACACCAGACACAAAAGACCACATGTGGGGTGACTCCGGCATGACCGCAGAGAAAACAGACTAGTCCCAGAGGCTGTGGGGAGGGAGACCCGAGGAGTGACTAACTGGTATGGGATTTCATTTTGAAATAGAAGTGTTCTGGACCCAGAGAGGCGGTGGCTGCACAACCCTGTGTGTCCCGAGTGTCACTGAGTTGTGCACCTTAAAATGGCTCGAGGGAGAGCGAGGCAGGTTCTCGTGGGGGCAGAGGCTGAGACCACGTGCAGGTGAAGACCGACTTCCGGTCCAGGGTCGGCAGAGGGGGCTGGGGGTGTTGAGGGGCACAGGCACCCAGCTGGACTTCGGGTGTGGTGGTCACGGTGGGGAGACTCAGGGGAAAGAAGTGGGCCAGGGAGGGCCAGGGCATCGGGGTGACCAGATGGAGGCGGTCCATGCGGTGGGCGGGGGAACTGACTTGTCTCAGCAAGAAGTTCCCTGACAGCCACATGGTGGCGCAGGCCTGCCATCCAGCGCCCAGGAGGCTGAGGCAGGAGGATCACTCAGAGCTCAAGGCCAGTCTGGACTACATAGTGAGACCTGTCTCAAATGAACAAACAGGAAGGACGCAGGCTGTCTTGAGGGTTGTGAGGGGCCTCGCTCCCTGGTCTGGGCAGTCCGTGCGTTCGTGCTGCCCACAAGTGACCAGGGCAGCGCAGTCCTGGGCCGCCCGGGCAGAAGGACTTTCCTCCCTCTCTGGCTACTTCCCTGGCCTCTTCACCTTTCTCCTTAGCCGTTGCAACAGCCTCCCTGGCTCCCTGCTGCCCACGCGTCCCTGTCCCTGCTCTGGCTGGGGAGTTTCCAGCCACTCACTGCTGCCTGGGGGGTGGAGTCCAGCTTCAGGACCGGTCCTGCGACTCCTGAGGGCTCTGCCACCACCACTGCTTCAGGGCAGCCATGACCTGGGGCTGCTGCCCTCATCTGCACCCACTGCCTCAGGGCCCCTCTTCTAACCCTCAAGGCAAATTAACTGCCCCACCGGGGGACCATTCCTGGGAATCCTGTCAGCGGGAGATGTCAGGCAGAGTCCACCCCTGCCACCTGTTCCCCCGAGGGCTGCCCCCGCCGCCCCCCGACGTCCCTTACCACCTGGGAATGCTCCTTCCTGTGACAAGACGGCCCTCATCCGCCATCTGATTCCCCTCCCATAGCTGTCACTGCCTCTCCCCAGGCACAACCAAGCCCAATCTCCGACCCTTCTCGGAGTCTCAAATGACGTGGGAGCCCCTTGCACACCTACACAGTTAAACAGGCTTTCTCCTGTTTGTGTCTTCTACACCAGCTTATCCCGTAGTTCAGCCAGAGAAGCCCAGAGGGCAGAGGGAGCCACCTTCCCTGTCCACGCGTCTTCCAGCCTGGCCTCGCCATGCTCACCCCAACCCACCGTCTGCTGAAAAGCTGCTTCGTGGCTTCTTTTCACCAGAAGGAGTGAAGCACACGAGCCCTTGCCCTACAGCACTACGTTCCTGTCTCCCCGGTGACCTTTCTTCACCCCCGATTCCAGGTCAGTGAAACAGGACAACTCATGGGCGGGACTGAGGGCCTTGCTCAGGCGAAGGCCTGGCCCCGTGCATGGGGCTGGACAGCTGAGTCCCCGCCGAGAGACGGCATCTGAGGACCAGGCCTGACAGGGTGCCCGATGTGCCTGCTGCCCGCACTGGCTCCTGCCGCTCACTGCAAGACAGCCTGGAGCCCAAGTCTCAGGAGTGGCTGCGGCCAGGGGAGGACCCACTTCCCTGTCGTCACACCCCAGGGAGGAAGTGGACTCTAGGACCCGGGCTGCCTGCCTGAGTCACCAGAGCTGGGAAACAGCTTCCTTCTCCCCAGGCAGGCAGTGGGGCGGAAGCAGATGCTGTCAGGACTTGCCCAGGTGCCTGCCTGGGGCAGAAAGCTCAGACCTGAGGAGCCGGCCAGTCTCCAGCAGAAAACCGCCCAGAAGTCCAGGTGGCCTGGCGACCCACTCCCGAGTCACCAGAAACTGGGGCCAGCCCACAGCGACTCCTCAAGGAGCTGCCTCCAGCAGAGCCCGGGGCCCAGCCACTCCGGGCAGGGCCTGGGGCCTGGGCTGGGGTGGTGGGAGAGGTCTGTCCAGGGAGGCCGATGGCAAACCTCACCGTGACGAGAGGAGAGGAGCTTGCAGATCACTCGCACTGCAGCATGGAAACACTTAACACTACTGAGTGTGTCTCCAGATGCCACGGAGCACTGGCACCCGGCTGTAATCCCAGCACTGTCGAAGGTCGAGCCAGGAGGAGTGCAGGTTTGAGCCCAGCCTGGGCAGTGTAGGGATTTAGGCCCTGTCTTGAAATAAATTAAAAAATAAAAGCTCTGGGTACAGCTCAGCTATAGCTCAGTCAGTGTGAGGGTCCTGGGTTCCATCCCCAGTGCCACACACACATACACACACGCATGCACACACATGCACACACATGCACCATAACTGGTCAAGATGATAAATTTTATGTTAAGTGTATTTCACAACAAATCATGTTTTAAAAAGAAAGAAAACAATCTATTCAAGAAAATGAGCTTGGATTCTCATATTCACCGTTTTCTAGAAGCTGCTGGTGGCGGGGCACAGTGGGTTATTTTAGCCTTTTCTGGTGCCAGAATGGAACCCAGGGCCTCGTGCTGAGTGCGCAGTTGCCACGGTCCGACCCCACCTCCTGGGTTATTTGAAGCAAATTCTAGACGTGACTTTTCACCCCAAACATCTCCGGGCACTTTCCAGGGGAGATGGTTATGCGTCTTCGATGATTACGTGGCTGTGAGCCAGGAGGAGGCTGAGCTTGCAGTGCTGGCCCCGAATTCAGGGGTCTCTGCTCACCCCTTGCTGGCTCAGGGCCCCTGCCCACTGTCATCCTTTTCTGAAAGAGCCAGGGAGCTCTCCTGAGGGGCTCCCTCCTATGTGCAGTCGGTGGCCGAGGCGCCCAGCTTCTCTGCCTCTGTGCCCCAGAGGGCTGCTTCCCCATGGAAGCCCCAGCCCTGGGCCTTCAGCTTGTGGCCTGGGCCACCCCAGAGCCTCCTGTCCCCTTTCCACCTGTCCCCTTGCAGCCCGACAGCCGAGCCCGGGTGTCACCTTCCCTGCCCTGGGCCCAGGCCCCAGGCCCCAGGCACCCAGTAGGAAATCAGCTCCCTCTGCCAAGTTTCTGCAGGTGGGGGGCTTCCCCAGGCACCTGCTCCGTGCTGCACCCTTAGCCTGGTGAGTGGAGGTGCCTGACACCGCCAGTGCCTGGCTTCCAGCCCAGGCCTGCAGCCCTGGGCTCAGTCTTCAGTGTCACACTCACGCACACACACGCGTATGCACGCACACATGCACACACAAATGAGCACCCAGGCCTCTTGCCTGGACATAGCTGCTGAACTGTGCCGAGGCCCCTGAGCACAGCTTCCTTCCAGAGATACTCTATGAGCACTGCAAGTAGGCACATCTCTTCTCTCTACCTGCTTTCGTTTTGGAGAGAGAGCAGCGTACAATAGGCAGCATTTCTGTAGCTTGTGTTTGTTCATTTGTTGTTTGGTTCTTTTGAAACAGGGTCTCACTGTGTAGTTCAGGATGGCCTTCAATTCACTACGTACCCCAGGGTGGCCTCCAACTCTTGGTGATCCTCCTGCCTCACCCTCCCAAGTGCTGGGATTACAGGAGTGTAAGCACACTCCTGGCTGTCACTTGTTTTTGTTACTTATTAAAATATCTTGGAGATTGTCAGAACTATCATAAGATCCAGCAATCCTACTTCTGGGTATATATCCAAAGGAATTTAACTTATTAGTAAGTCCAAGAGATAACTGTATTCCCATTTCAACATTATTCACAATAGCTAAGATCTAAATGTTCACAAATGAAGGAATGGATAAAGAAAATGTGTTACATATATATACACAGTGGAGTACTAGACAGCCTTGAAAAGAAGGGAGTTCCATCCTGTGCTGCAGCTTGGGTGGGCCTGGAGGGCATCATGCTAAGGGAAATGAGCCAGGCCCCCAAAGAGAAACTGCACACTTTCACTTTTATGTGGAATCGAAAACAAACCATTGGAAGGTAGAAAGAAAGCTTGTTATCAGAGGCTAGAGAAAGAAAGACAGATGAGACAGGGGAGATATGATCAAAGGATACAAAGTTCCAACTACAGACATAAATTTAACTTGATTTTGTGGTACTAGGGATTGAACTAGGGCCTTGGCACTGAGCTACTAGGATCCCCAGCCTTTTTCCTGCTTTCCATTTTGAGA